CCGGGGTTTTCAGTCAGAGGAGGTCGAGAACTGAATTCCAAGAGGGGCCAAGGAATTTTCACTCTGCTTTATTTAATATGGTTATGTCTTAATGTTCCCCACACTAAAGCGTGCAGGTTTACTTACAAAAAATGTGTAACTGTAGCAAAACCTAAAACATGCAGGGATAGAGTAGAGTACTCGAAAATGGGGGAGGTACAGTATATGAATTACCTGTAACCTTGGGGGGTTCGGGGGCATGCTCCCCCGAGAAAATTTTAAAATTTGAACCTCGGAAATGCTATTTCCTGCGTTTTCAGCCATGGATTCGTCCAACAACTTTGCTGTACTAAGCCTAAGGAACACTTACTGTCCTTATTTTAAACAAGGGAAAATTAATAATATTTTGATTAATACGTAATAAAACAAGATTTCAATGATGCGATTTTTAACTGCCCTCCGAAACAACAATGTTCCACCATGCAAATATAGCTCTGTAGCTTTTCAATCGTTCATACAGATAGCTTTTTGGGGATCGGGTTGCATCATTTTCAGAAATTTTTTAAAATTTATACTCTCTAAACTGGCATTTTCGCATTAAAATCATCGTATATGCAGTACGTTCAACTTGTATCCTGTAGATGGGCCTATGTAGTTTGGAGCTATGCTATCAAAAACACCATCCAAAAATACTTTTTCTACCATGCATATTAGATATGTATAAAGGCTATAAATAACTTATAAACTTGTACATATCTTAAGCCCAGATTTTCTCGGGGGGGGGGGCAACAATTTTGCCAGAGAACGCGACGGTAGAATCCCTGTGATGTTGTCCACTGTTCACCTCGTGTTCTTCTAAGCGAATGTGCCTGCTCAAAAATGCAAAAATTTTGCAAGCCTGTGGACACAATACTGAAGTGAAGAACGTTGAGCGCTCTCTTTTGCATGATATTTTTTTCTCGATTATATGCTGCATGATATTTTTTTCTTTCTCCTTGGATTGCAGGAAATTTTTTTTCGAAATCTTCCAACACACCCCCCCTCAAAAATTAAATGGTCCGCCCCTAAATGCGCTTTATTACCCTCTATTAAGCCGGTTTTCCACTAGCGAATTTTTTCGCGCGAAGCGACCTTTTTCCTTTGTCGGCATCCATTTTGAAGCCCTCGAAAACCGTCAAAATTGAGATCGTCAAAAAAGGGCCGACCTAAATCTGACCTAGGTCGGCACGTCTCGGCATTTCTTAAAATCTGTTTCACGTCTTGGGGCACTATTAATCACGCATTTACGAATCATTGAAATCGGAATATAACTGGAACGTTACCTCCAGCCGGAAAATTCGAAAGTTGAAGCCAAATTTTAACTCTAGACGCGCGAAATTTGATCTTCAGACACTTAACGTATATACGTA